CCCCCCCCCGAATTAAAAGGGGCTAGTTTCACCCCTGGCGTGGAGTTAACCCTTCTTCAGTTATCCTAGTTCATTTTACTATATAGTCAGAAGTAGATATCCCAATAAACTGTTGATTCTTCTTTAAGGAACTACCGATGTCTGTATGTATACCGTAAAAAGGCTGTGACACATTTCTTTTCAAACACAATCTATTGCACCGTACTTTGCAATTACACAGTGTACTCACTGTAAAAGATTACTGTCAAACACATGTCAAATGAGTTGCTTTTTAAATACAGTCTATTTTACCGTAATTTACTATTACAGTATACAGTACTTACCTTAAAAAATAACAGTACATTATTCGGTAAAAAACCAGGTATTTTTAACTGTGAGGGCTCTAGAGCATTTTCTTGCGTTTTACTAGTTTTTACCCAAAAATAGTGATAATGAGAAATTATGGTTTTTCTTGCCTTTTCCATGCACTCAAATGAAACTTTCAACGTCGAACAGGGGTGAGACGTTTTTAAATTAATACTTTTTAAATGTTAGGTGTATACCAAGTCTACCAAGACGTTTGGCCAGGATTGTAGCATACTTAATTTTAACAGAAATGTATTACATAGCCTATATTGATCATAAATTTTTTTATAGGGAAAATTTCCCTCACAGTTGAAGACAAGATTGTTGTTCTGCCTGGAGAAAATGTGGAAATAAAGTGGAAAATTAGTGGTATTAAGATATCAGACTTGACCTTTCGGCAGTGGTTTTTTATTCCAGGGGACACATTACTTGCTCAAATCGTAGGAAACCGTGATGCAGATATAAGAAATACCAGATTTGCTTCAAAGATTGAAGTAAAAAAAACCTTCAACACTGGTTTTGAAGAACGTTGATAGCAATTTTAATGGAACATACCAATTGATTTTGTCGGTAGGCCTCAATGACAGCAAGTCTGATGTTCCAGTTTTTGTTGCAGGCAAGTGTCTGTTGCAGTGTAATATTCTTTTTTCGATACTTTTATTAACTTGAATTGAAGTCTCTCCATAACTCATTTATTTACTCTTGCTTTATTCGTTCATTTCTTGTCAAAAATATTGAGCTTTACTCCAACTATATGCTCCACCCCTATATAGCTACAAAATAATTTTCAAAAACTCATTAATAATTCATGAAGCAATTATCCAATCTTGAGTAAGAAATTAGTCACGTGCATACGTCTTTATACCAGCTAAAGAA